GATCCTATGTGAATCTTCTGGGGCACGGGCACTGGGGTCATGCAGTGCAATTCTGACGATCACTTGGTTTCTCAGCAGCAGGGGCTGGCTGTTTGGTGCATGGACTCTCTCCCAAGCTGGCATACTTGTGGCGCCTTTCCTCATCCTGAGGAGTCTCCACAGCAGCTCCCTGATTCTGGAGTCCCATCCTGATAGGTGTATAAGGTGGTTCCATTCTTTCAGAAAGCTATTTAGCAATACAGAGCAGCTGTCTTCTCGTGTGACTGGTTAAGTGGCCAGGCTCTGGCATTCAGAAGACATGCCGGAGGCTCAGCTCTGCCCCTAGCTAGCTGTGTAACTAAGCGCAGCCACAGCCCCTCAGAGGCTCAGCTACTGCTGTGAAGTCAAGCTCACAGTACCCACCGCTCCCCTGAATGTCTCATGAGGATCAAATGAAATGATGTACGTGAAGCACACAGTTCTCAACTAACAGTAGCTGTTAATTCTAAATCCTATGATAGAAAATGAAACAAAGCTCAGAGAGTAAGTATATTTACTCTGGCTTTTCCTATCTAAAGATCTACAGTGCGAGGCAGCTTAGGCAGACCCTGAACACACACACGAGCGGATCTCTCATGGGAACAAAGGACAGTGGTTACAAGAACACACGTAACAAGTCCATAAATGGATCTTGCAGGGAAGGTGGAGCTCTGGGGTAAAAAACCAAACCAAACCAAACCAAACCAAAACAAAAACACAGGAAAAGGACCAGAAAGGAAGCTGTAGAAATATATATCCATAGTTGAATGCAAGTAGTTGGATTCCAAATGATTTTGTCTCTTAAATTTCAAGTTGTCTATACATTAATAGATCATTCTGACAAATAAACACAAATGCAAGTCACTTGAACAGTACAGATTTTGAATGGATCTGGCCAGGGAGGTGAGCCGCACAGTGGCTCACGGGCCCCTGGTGGGCGGATCTGGACTATTATTACTTAGTACAATGAAATTCAAATAACCGGGATGGTCAGTGGAGCCCTTATGTAATAAAAAGCTGTTCTGTGTCTCCGCCATGGGGACAAGGTGCGTAGTGGACAGGGCTCAGAATGGGCAGGTGATCTGGGCTGGCCCCAGGCTCAGCTCTGCGTATAAGCCGCTCATCCTTGGGATGCAGAAAGAGCTCTACCATCTCCCTCCATAGTCTTAGCTACTCTGTGTGGGCCACTACCCCTTGCTCTACTGCCTCCTTCCAGCAGGGAGCAAGTGGTGGTTGGTTGCCTGGCAGAGAAGCACTTGCGGTCAGTGTGGCCACCTACCCTGTGCAGTGTGTGATCCCGAGGGGAGGGGCCGTTCCAATCACATTGCTGGCTTTCTAAGCTGGTTGTAGTCCTCAACCCTTTGCAAGCCATGAGGAGAATAACTTGAGGTCAGGGACATTCTGGCTGTAGACCACCAAGGCCTGCTCTACTGGATCCACAGCTATTTTGCCCACATGATGTCTACCACAGTGGCCAGGTCCTCACTACTAAGAGTAGCACAGGTGTTAACTGGAAGAAAGGGCCAGGTCTGTGCTCTTACACAGCCAATCTCACCACGGTCTGGGCTCGAGACCTTGAGCAAGTTACCGACAGTCACTTCCTCAAGAAGCCCCAGCTTCTTCCTGTGCTCAATAGGAAAGCTATATCTACCTTTCACGATCTTAAGGGCTGTGCAGCAAATGTTGCTCTCTGTCTCCTTCACCCAGCAGAGATGCTAGGTGCCTGTGAGCACTGCTCTGTGGCAGTGGGAAGGCTGATGGGCTCTCTGGTTCCTACTCGGCACTGGGGAACCCGAGGGGAGGGTGGCAAGATGGGAAAGATACTGCAAGACATGGTGTTGTTTGGGGGCAAAGCCAGACACAACTGCCCTGTCCCAAAGATGGCAGCAAGGTGCCAGGGACAGAAAGAAGGAAAGCAGAGCTCTGAATCTTGGCCTGGCCACTTTCTGACCATGAATTCTGGGAACACAGTCAAATGGCCTTTCTGAGCTCCCAGCTTGGGAGGTAGCCCCACAGGGTGTGGGACACCAAGAGGCTCCACTGTGCTGCTGCTGACTGGTGCTTTTAGCTTAGGCCGCTCCTGATGCTGAGGGCACTCCACCAGCTCTGCTCTGAAAAATATAGGAAGAAGCTAGTACATGGAGAGAAACGCAGAGTTAATCAGCTAATGGTAACTGAGAAACAGGGAGATGGTTTCTCCAGAAATCTTTCAGAAGTGTTTTTCCTAATGCCAACAAATGGCCCGAGGGGGGCTAGGAAGTCTACCCTTGATTCAGGAAGAAAATTTTGATGGGTGAACATTTCATTTTGGGCGAATGCAAGTCTACACAGAGTCACCATGGGAACTGCCTTTCAAGGCCTCCTTTCCAACATGCTGTGTACCTAGCAGGTTTTCAAAGACAGTCGGTGAATGAACAGACACACGAATGCACAGATGGAGCAACGGACGGAGGGACATCAGCTGGAAGGGAAGGCACAGACTTCACCGATGGACTGGGCAGGGAGCTGCGGGCCGCTGTGGCTGGGCCTCAGGGGTCCCAGAATGCTCAGCGGCTGCAGGAGACGCTCTCATTCTTAATCAGCTCCATCTTGCTGGCTGTAAACTTAATTATGGAATGTGCTACTGGAAGTGAGGGTTGGGACAAGGAGTCAGAAGGACTCAATCTCCCCCTCAGCTTCAAAGGTCTTGCACCTCCTTGTGCCACCCCAATCCTCTATGTTTCCAATGCACTTTGATACTCCTGGCAGAGATGAAAACCCAGGATTCTGAAAATCCAGGCCAGATGAAAGGGCCAGGCGCTGAGTCCATGTACCCGACACAGAACCACCCTTGACAAAGGCCCATTAAGCTCTGGCTCCTGCCTGCCGGCTCGTCTTCTCGCATCTCCTAACACAATGCTGACAGATTGGTGGAGCTGGTTTCCTTTCCCCCAGAACAATATTTTATGAGGAGTCTGTTTTATTAAAATATTTTCCGCTGGATGCTTCCTGTGTTTCAAGAAGTTGGTCTTGCCAGCTGGAGCCGATGACAGTTGAGAAAAACACATCCAAGTGCTGCTGTGACATGGCATTTGGAAGCAGAGGAACACGGAGGGGGGAGGGGCGGCGGCACGGAAGAGACGCAGGAAAACACCCGGTAGCACCAGAAATGTCACTGGCATCATAGGCGCACAGCCTCTCCCACTTCATTAAGAAAATGTGAAAAGAAATTCTTGTGACAGTGTCCCCAAAATGTATCTCTCTATCTCTTAGTAGGTGTGGTCACAGAAGACCTGTCCTTTGCCACTACTGTTAGCATGCCAACTCCCCAAAAGAGCTCCACACCCCCACTGATCATCTCAGCTCCTAGGGCTTCCTGAAAAGAAAGCAAGGCTAGGCACAGTGCAAGAAGAAAGCAAAAGTCACAGCAGCACAGCTCAGTCGACACCCAGGGAAACTGCATCCTCAGACACTGGCCCGTGGACACACACCACAGAGTCATCGTCTATTGCTGGGTTTGGAAGAGGAACAGCATAAGTGAATGTGGAAAGGTCAAGCTCTGATCAGGAACCTGGTCACAAAATAGGTCATGCTTTTCAGTAGAATAGGGGGTACTTTTGATCTGGGATGTTTTGTGCAATGCATTCTGCGTTTGCAGCTCAGTAACTCACGGGTCCTTAACCTGGTGCCGGGTCTAGAAGGTTCAGTTCAATTTTAAAGAGGAGATTTTAAAGAAATATTCATTTCATCCTGTTCAGGAGAAATCTCGAGGGCTCCAGGAAGTACAGAGCTACGCAGCAGTCTCTCCACAAGGGGGCAATCATAATCCACGCCAGGGAGCTTAACCAATATCCCTGTTGCCTCCCTGTGTACAGTGTAAGTTAAACCTACGCCCAACTTCAGGCGCCCTCTATTCCAAATTTCACACAACCAAGCATCTCCTTAGCCTCCCCTCCCCCAGCTTTCTATGCACATCTGGGGGTCATGGGGTGAACTGCTTCTACAAAGACCTGGGAGTCAAGCAGTATCCGACTGGAAGGCAGGGGACCTGGGAGACATGAAGCACGCCACAGCCTAGGTTAGGTCACAGCTCAACATTCAGAATTGTCTCTTCTTTTTAGCTCCAAATTTTCTCAGGCCTGGCCATCTCCCTTAACTTCTGTCCCTGAGAAATTGTTTGAAGGCAGGCCGGGTATGAGGGGCATTCCCGCTTCTATTCAAAGGACTAATTTACTTGATTCCTCCAACAACCCCAAGACTGCGAAGAATTCCTGTACTCTTTAAGGCATCACAGAAGCTGGTGTGCACCTGCCAAGTTGTCTGGGCAGGGCCTGACGGCTGTGTGCCTTATGGACAAAGGAAGGTGGCATTACTTCTCCAGATGGCTCTGGGGTCTGGGTTGTTTGCAGGTTTTGGTCTGACCCCATTCATGGGACTCACTCACCTCTTCTGTCCTACAGTCACTCAGCAGGTGACTGAGCCAGTTGTAGGCTAGGTCTTGCACCCAGGCCTGGAGCTCCAGGTGTGAGAGGACAAACAGTGAACACACAGACAATATGTAGGGTCCAGGTGAACAAAGGGCTCAGGAGGGGGTTGAGCAGTGAGTAAGGATGCCTTATATATGACCTGAGCCACAGAGACCCTGAACACACTAGGCCTGAGGTGGAGGCCCTATCAATCAGGAGGCCTCCTTGATGGATTGCTAGTCCTTGCCTGAGCACTCCCCATCTTTACCAGAAGAAGTCTGGGTCCCTCTTTGCAGCTTCTTGCAGGCCCTGTGGGGCTCACCACTCAAAAGCCAGCAGAGGGGCCAGTGGTTCCCCGGACCCTAGGGCCTCCTGCTAAGATGACAACTGCTCAGCAGCAGTCTACATGGAGAATGCAGCTCTACTCCTGGCTGGCCTCTTTGTGAAACACCTACTGGGGCTGGGATGCACACATGAGAGACACAAAGCATGGTCCTGCTGGGTTCTCACAGGCAGGAAGGGACCAGGGGTACTCACTGTTCAGGGCTCGAGATGGATGTCCTTCGGCCTTCCACGGAGATGTTGCTCTTCGGTCTCTTGACAACATGAGGACGGGGTGGGCGGACCTGGAACAGTCACAGGGAAACCCCCAAGAAATGAGTTGGAGAAGCCACATAGGGACATACCGAAGATCTGGATAAGTAGTCCCAAAAGACACATTTAGGGATTTTCAAAGTGTGGGCTACAAAAGCCCCACTCATCATGGAAACACTCCCAGTTCACATGCAGTGGACAGACATGTTCACTGACTACTGTGACCTACTCAGTCAGAGAGGTCCTCCTCATCTGCAGGGTGGGGACGGTCTCACTCAGAGCTACGCTGAGGGTTCCAAGAGCTGCTCTTGATGGGGAACTCACAGAACAAGGGCTTTATCCTCATAGATCAAAAGTTTCCCTCAGACTTGTTTTGGGGGTACACATAAATATTTTGCTCCTTTAATAACAGTTACAGGGTTATTTTTCTTTCTAAATGGGATGGAAAAAGCAAATAACAGTGTCAGAATGCCAGTTAAACCCATCCTTTTGCCTCCCAGGGTGCGTGAGCCAGTTCTTCAAAAGGGCCCAGAAGCCATACACCTCGTGTGGCCACACTGAGTTCAGACCTGGTGAGAGGGTGGCAGCAGGGGCACCAGGAAGCGAGCAACTTCCTAAGCCCAGGCCGGTGTGCTGATGACAAGTGGGCTGGTTATTCTAAGCTGCCACCTCTGAAACCCAAAGCAAAGGCCCAGAGAAAAAGACACACTTCCTGCACCAGACTGATAGTGCATGTTAGGCTAGGAATTTCTCAGTGCTCTTTGAAGGAAACTCATTTGGTCCAATCAACATTACACAGCTTAACATTTGGTACCATCGGACATCTCTAGTTCTAGTGCCAGAGAGGGGCAGGGAGAGAGCTAAGCTAAGAAGGTCCCTCTGTGAATTTCACTGCCAATAAAAACAACTGATCACTGTGGAGGGCAGAGGGGCTCACTGTCCTTGCAGATTCAATGTCACACTTGTTCCATTTCTTGCCTCTCCCCCAACACTCCTGCCCTCAGCAATCTGTGGGCAGCACTGCACAACAGCTTTGGCATCTTTAGCGAATCTCACCAACCCCTTGGGTCTGCACACGTCTTATCTAACCACGGCTTTTCTTGCAGAGTGGCCAGTCTGAGCCCAGGCTGGTTTGGCAGATCAGAGATGAGGTGGAAGCCAAATGCATTCCACCAAACTTGCTCTGTTTTCCTTCACAGGGCTGCTGTGAGGCACAGACAGGACAGGGCACAGAGAATGCCCCCGCACGGCTCTGGAACATGGTGGGTGCTTAACAAATGCTCATCTTGTTTCTCTGTGGCTGGGATGTGCCCTTCTTATCAGTCAACAAAAGGAAGCTGGTGGGGGATACCTAGAATTAGCAGATGAATTACAAATTGTCTTCTTCCTGGCCTCCTGTATTGTCCCTGGTATACAGTTGGAAGTTGAGGGAGATTCTTAGAAACATAAAAGAGTGTTGCTGTTTGGAATCTACAAGGCACAGAAGACTGTTACTATTATTATCATTGTTACTAGCATGGTGCGCACCACCCAGAAGACATTTGATCAACATCTGCTGAATATATGAATGAACATATCCCTTTCCCCCACTCTGACTGAGCTGGTTTCCTTAGCTGCAGCCAGACTCCTCTGGCAAACACAGACAGGATCTGCCTGCTAGCAGGATTCCCCAAGACTGCTCCCCAGCAAGGCGAAGGTGAAGGCGGGATGCTGCTGGGGTGGAGGAGCCAGTCTGTGGGGGTGGGGGGGGGGTGGGCGGGCATTCTGGTGAGGTCAGACTTTAAGGCCTGTCAGCTCATCCTGCACAGAGCTGCTCCTCGCTACAATAAAGATGGGTTAAGAATGTGAACTTGTGGCTGAAATGGGGGGATTAAGTTTGTGGCAACTTCAACTGAACTTGCAACGTGGTGAAACATGGGGAAAAAGAACAACAGAGCTAATTAGACGAGCTGAGCTGTCAGAGTGCCGCTGAATGGCTCAGCGCCAACAAACAAAAGGAATGGGTTGGCAATCAGCAGGATCGATGGAGGAGACTGCTTCATTAGGGATGATAAAACAGACAGAGGGAGAGGGAGGGGGAGGGGTGGGGGGCTGGAGAGGGAGAGAAAGAGCAAGCGACCAGAGATAGTCACCCTGGCAGTTACAGACCCACCCGGAGTCACACACACCTGACTGCTGCAGACAAAGCCAGACACAAAATTATCTTCAGACAGCCACCGGATCACCAAGCCCTGGGGACTGCAATGTACACACAGCCTCACAAACAGACACACACAAGGCCTGCATGGAGGTGAGGACACATGAAACACACACACACACACACACACACACACACACACACACACACACCCCAGCAGCAGCAGCAGCAGCAACAGCAGCAGGAGGAGCAGCAGCGGCAGCAGCAGCAAACCACAACCAGCCAAAGGCACACACAGACAAAATGGTTTAATTAAGCCGGAATCACAAGACGATGCAGACAACTCCCGTCATATTTCAGCAATCACATTCCTCTTTCCGGGGTGCTTTGTAAGGGTGAGGGGTGGGAAGGAGGGAGAAACTGCCCATACACGTCAGGGGCGGGCCCACCACGGCTAGGATCCCAGAAGAGCCAGGGGACAAAATGCTAAACAGGGATTTCCAGCTCTGTTCAAGGGGGACTGGAGGGGAGAGTTGGGAAGCCAGCCAATTCCCCACTGGATTTAAAATCTGAGAAATCTAAGTCGGCAGGGTTAAATGTGTATTGAATACAAAAGCACCGAGTACATTTGATTTTAATGGTGAGCGAGAAATAATAAATACAGAGCTTATAAAGTGCTTCGCACACAGGCCGACCGCAGCCTGCCTCTACCCAGCAAGCCCCGGCCACTGCCCTTCATTGGTGAGACTCCAGAACCGATCTCTCCTGTTTTTTTCTTTTCTTTTTAATAAAAATCCCAAACCCTGTGGTCACAGCTGAACTCCAGTCACAGGTGCCAGGCTACAAAGCTCCACTATCCCGGCCAGTGGCTGCACTGGACGTTGGCAGCTAAGTGGGCCAGCAAAGCCTGGCTGGGGGCTTGTCTGGCTGTCCTCTTTGAGTCCCCGAGGAGCCCCACCCCTGGGTTTCCCTGGGTCCTTCCTAAAATGCAGTAGGGTTCATTACAAGTGTTTGCATAAATGCATGTGGAGAGAACAGTCCCTGCAGCCTGGGGACCTGACAGACTGGAAGGCACACATTGTGGCTCCCAAATCATCTCTCCGCAGTCCTGCTTGGCACACATATATACTCATTTCACGTTAGGCGTGCTCTGTGTATGACCTTACTATCCTCACCTGGTGGACACTGCTGAACTCCCTAGTCAGACCATGCAGCCAAGGCTCAGAGCAGGTAAGGCTCTTGCCTAAGGTACACAGCCAGGAACTGGTTATGTTAGGATTCCATTAAGGGCAGGCCTCTCTGAATTCTAAGCCTGAGGGTGGAGGTGGGGGTGAAATCCTTCCAGGCACCTTCCTCCTCAGCACATCAGAAGCCAAGGGAGAGGCAACCCTGAGTGTGGGCTTATCTTTCTTAAACCAGGCCAAGGGCAGAGGCAGCTGCTCATCAGGCTTATCTTGTGGCAACTTCCACCCCTCCAAGTCCTCGAATGCTGATGGTAGTGGCTAGGCATGCCCTGATCTGCACGAGTCCTCACACTGGTGTGGCTGTAGAGTCTGCCATAGCTGTCTTCAGGGTGGGAATTTTTCCAGGCAGTGTGTGTGTGGGGATGTGTAACTGTGCCCTGAATCATGCTGGTCGTCTGCCTGGGCTGGAACCCATGCCTCTAAGGATTCTGATGGCTGCCGTTTAAGGGGAGGCGGATTGGTGGGGAGCAAGAAGAGGGTAAGCCTGGCCTCAAAGGCCAGGTTGGTCTCTTATCATCTCTGTAGTCTTGGCTACAAAAAAAAGACAGGGCATCTGCCTCCTGAAACTGCAATCAGAATGAGTGAGGCAACAACTGCTTGGGCGCCCAGCAGCCCTGGACACACAAAAGGTGTGCAGTACGTGTTTGTTCCCTCCGCTTGTCTCCCTGCCAGGACCTGGTACTTCCCTGGCAGTACCACAGGAAGCCCAGTTAGTTGCTGATTTTTTTTTTTTTTTTCCTACTGAAGCTCTGTCCTGGTACTGTGTGATAAGTCTATCTCTGTCCCCATGACAAAGGAGGGCTGGGGAGCTTGGGATGTTGAAAATATCCCCAGTTCTGGAGGCTGGTGAGCCCTGGCAAAGGACTTGGGTTAAGTTACAAAGCACATGCTTTCTCATGACCATATAAGCCTAGGCAAAGGATGGTTCTTAATAGACCAGGCTATTCCTTAGAAGTTCTAAAACGTAAGAACTTGCTCAGACTCTATTTTTTTTTTTGTCTTTTTGAGACAGGCTCTTGCTACGTGGTTCAGGCTGACCTTGAGCTCACTTTATAGCCCTGGCTCGTCTCAAACTCACAGCAAGCCTCCTGCTTCAGCCTCCCAAGGGCTGGAATTACAGGTGTGTAACACCACGGCTGTCCTGTAAGAACCTGTTCAGGAGAATAAAAATTGCTACCAAAAAAAAAAAAAAAAATTGCTCCCATGTGCCAGGAGCTATGCTGCGTGCTCTTCAAATGTTTTCCCTGTTCATTCTCACTGAAAAGCCCTATGAATGAGGGTCCAGTGCAGAAGCAGAAATGAGGCTCAGAGAGTTTCAGTCCTTTGTCCAAAGTCATACAGACTCAGCATTCAAGATCAGCTCTCTTAAGGGCTGGCCAACCAGCTCAGTGGATTAAAGCCAGGCGCAGGGCCAGGGGTTCGATTCCTGGGCCTGCTGTGCGTGCTGAGATGGCAACTGAGACTGGGCGTGGTGGTGCGCGCCTGTAATCCCAGCTCTTGGGAGGCTGTAAACAGGAGGATCACGAGTCTGATCTAGTAGTGAGAAAGGCAAGACCAGCTCTCTTGACTCCTCAAATCCATGTTGCTGATGACTATGGAAACACTCACTAAATCCTACAAGGGTCGACCCAGTAGGGGCTTCCTGTTTCCCAAAGCCTTCTTGTTGCCTGTGCCTTCCTTCCAACAACAGTGCGCAGGACTGTTCTAGCCTCCTGGCAGCTGTGCTGACTGGGGCTGGGTTATTCACTGCTTTCACGGGGCCACAGGATGGCTCCATTGTCTCAAATGCTGGCAGGTAGACCCACAGCTGTCACAGGTGAGGCCAGCTAACTCCTCCACCTCTCCCCCAGCCTTCCAACTCCTACATGTGGTGGGAAGGGGGGGAGACAGCCTCACCCAACATCCAACATCCACCCAGAGGGCAGTCACCCAGTAGATGACCCATGTGCTCATTAAGGATACAAGACCGACACAGTATGGCCTGGCACTGTCACGAGGTGGACTAATCATGTGCACTGGTGAGGGTGGGGTGGGCTGGGACCTCAGTTTGTGGGATGCTGTGATTGTGGCTGATCCCCCATGGTTGGCCACGGTGTGTAGATGTTTGGGGCCACAGATTGGGAAACTTTGCTAGGTAAACAGCCCTCATCAAATGGTTCTGGCAAGTTTTCTACTTTAAGGCACCTGCTAAAGTTATTATGCTGCGGCACAGCCAAAGTCTGAGTGTACAAGGAAAACAGCCTCACCAATGCTCCATGCCAGACTCTCGCCCCATATTTTTCCATAGCATTTCTCTTTAGGATACACAATGGGCCTCTCTTCCCCACCTGCCCTGTTCCCAGGTGTTGGTGTATTTATCACACTTTGCCTTGCTATTCTGCTCTTAACGCCACACTCTCCTGGGACGATGGCTCTCTGTGGGAGGCCTGGCAGGAGCACAGTACCTGTCTCCATTTGGGCTGGCTCCATATTCTCTGGGTGCAGAACTCTGCCCTTGGTTGTTTATATTCCTTTCTTTCTTTTTTTTTTTTGGCAGAACCTGGGATTGAACTCAGGCCCTTGCGCTTGCCAGGCAAGTGCTTATTCTACTAAGCCATCTCCCTCGCCCGAACTCTGCCCTTGGGAGGGAATACTAATAGCTTTCCAAACTAAGATCTGTCAGGAGCGAGACCCCTGCTGCCAGTCTTTGGCTTCCCTCGGGAGGAAGAGGCATTTGCATCCTGGCTTCACAGCTCCTTGGCTAGAATCATGGCTTGCCTGTGAGGGGCTCAATGATGCACACTCCTGGCCACCTGTGTGTCTGACCCTCTGAGCATCATGGAATTGATTCAGAAGAAGGAGAGAGAAACCCAGGAAGTGCAAGTTCAGGTTCATGCCACACAGCGAGGGAAGCTGAGAAACCCAATTCCCGGTTTCCTCGTGCCAGGCAGGAGAGTCCACACTCCCAAGGTTTAGTCAGTTGGGGAGAATGGCTCAGGCAGTGTTAGGTGGGAGGGCACAAGCACCAGCTACTCACGGGCCTTGCGCGATGTATCTTGGGAGGCGGCGGTCGAGTGGGATGGAGTCTTTGTGGCTGCATTAAAGTGGAAACTTAAAACATCAGTACACACTAGGATGGTGCAATGCATTTCCACACACAGCGTGGGAGCAAGCATCCAGCCCCCTGAGGCAAGGCCACAATGCCATCCTAATGCCCTTGGTCCTCTCCTGCCCTGGCCATCTTCTAAGGCTGTCCCCTGTGCCGACTGCTCAGTTCTGGTCTAGTCTCCAGTTTGGATTACTATAATCATCTCCTGCTAGGGCCCCCTGGTAGGATACCCTCCATCATCTTCCACAGAGGCCAAGGGACCTTGTGAATTGCAATTAACCAAGCCACACTCAGTTTCAAAACCTCTGGTGCCCTTCCCGTTCTGGCTGACAACTCTAGGTCCTGGGCTGGCACTCCCAGTCTTGCAGTACCTAGACACGGCTATGCCCCATGTAGACTTCCTCACCCTCCACCTGGGCCCTCCCTGGGCAGACCTTCAATGACCTGGGCTTTGGGGCCTCATCTCCTCCTTGCTTCTTGGGTATCACGTTCCACCCTATCCCCATTGGCCTAGTAAATTCAGACTTCAAGACCCCGCCCACATCACAGGGTGTCTCCAGGACTCCAGCTGCTTGGGATTCACTGAAGTATCCCCCCAACAATATCCATTTCCTTACAGGATCCATCCCTATGGCTGCAGAAGGTTGTATGGGACTTGGAGAAAAAACAAAAAAAATAAAAAATCTTGCTCAAAAAATGTCTGATGAACAAATACAATTTATACAAAATGCTTCCGCTGTGAAATCAGGATCTGAATCAAAAGCAATACAGTACAGACTTCTCAGCTCTATCTTCAAGCCTTTTATCTCAAAAGCCAAGCTGTGTCCTTTCAACAGTGTACCTGGGGGTCCTGAACACAGTGCGAGATGGGTGGGCAGAGGAGGGTCTGTAAAATCCCACACAAGCCGGAGACATGCCCCCACCCCCAGCACGCCCTTAGCCTTCCACTTGGTCCCTGTCCCTTTAGTCACTCAGTCCACAAAGATATGTCACCATTTGTCAACCTTCAACCAGTACTGGCCAATAAAGTAGGCACCTGTGGTGAGTCCAAATTAAGATATGTTGTAAGCATAAAAATTATTAGATTTTAGAGACTGAGTAGGAGAAAAGAATGTAAAATACCTGAGTAATTAAAAAAAATTGATTACATGTTGAGATGATAGTATTTTGGATATTTGGTATATAGAGATTTTTTTTTT